CTGCCAGTCCCCCTACCCAAATGTTTTCATTAGCTGTGTTCTAATTAAATAAGACTTTCTTAATTGGCAATATTTGGCTTGGACTCCTTATTATTTCAAAGCATAAATACAATTACACTAAACTTTGCTTTTTATCTACTATACTAGTAAAGCCTATCTCCAAATTTGTAATTTATTTTGGCTATGAAATATAGCTAAGCTGTTCTAACAATCAAAATACATGAAAACAAAAGCAGAGCCAGCAGATAGCATAATGGTTATGTCACTGGACTCCCACGTAGTCAGCTGTGGTTTGAGCCCCACACCCGGTGGATTCAAATTCACACCAGGAACATGTGCATGCATGTGTGCCCAAAATTCTGAGAGGGAAATGAAGAAGGGATTGCTGCGTGGCCATTCCCCCAGGGGGTGATTTCTCACTTTCTGTCTGATAAGTGCACACACCCTACAGCTAAAACCTCTCACAAAAAAAAAAAAAAAATTGCAAAAAGCATCAACTTCTCAGAATACTGACGGTTAAATTATACCTCCTATGTAATAACAAATCAATTCAAATTTAAGAACCACCTGAAGGGAAATCTGATTTTATACAGTATGCAAGAAAGAATTACTGGTGATTTTTTTTAACTGTTGCCTGGTCCCTGGATGAATTAAATCACAATCTATGAGACTTAAGCATAAACTTATTTTGTTTTGTTTTTGCTATAGGGCACATGGGCTTGCTAAAGAGAGACAGAGAAGAGAGAGAAAAAGTGAGAACTCATACCCGCCCCAAGGCCACACCCTATCCCCTTCTCCAGTCTCCTTTTGGGATTTTGGGTAATCAAAGCACACACACACCCAGCATGATTTTCTTTTTTTTGGCTGAGAGACTATTTACTATAGGGTGTGGGCGCTCACCAGCAAGGAAGAGACTGAAAACAAAAAATCACCTTACATGGGGGATGTTCATGCCACAATCACTTTTCCCCCATTTTTCTCTTGAGACTTTGGGCGCAAACATACACGCACACATGCCCAGCATGACTTTTAAGCTGCTGGGTCCAGGACTCAAACAGTAGTTGTGGAAGTTCAGCAATGTAACCAGTACACCATCTGCTATACACCAAGTACCAACATGTTTTTCAAGCCTCCTGGTACAGGACTCCAAGCACGCAGTCAGCCATGTGGGATCCAGCACTTTTAACCTCCATGCCACCTCCTGGTCCAAGCATTTACTGATTTTAAAAGACCCTAGGTAATTTTTTTTTTCGATTTGCCAAAGGGTGCTTACACTCACCAGAGAGGGGGAGAAAGCACCCCCATCGGGTATGGCCATGTCACAATCTCTTCATTTCTCCATCCTCTCAGGATATCCAAATACATGTCCACTGTTTTTCAAGCCAAGGGGTCTGGGACTCAAACCACATGGCTGGCCATGTGGGATCCAGCTCCCTTAAACCACCAACCCACCAGCTGGCCCATTCCTGAGTGATTCTAATGTATAGTAGGGCTAAGAACCACAACTATATGACAACTGATATTTTTTCCTTTTAACTTTTTAATTATTCATGATAGAGCACATGAACACATGTTCACGCATGAAAGAGAGATGAATACCCTCCACAGGGCCTGGTCATGCAGCAATCCACTTTTTCAGTCTTCCAGCCCAACCCATCTTGAAGACTGGAGCACATCCTCAGTGTTTCAGGATAACCAGGTCATGGATTCAAACCATGGTTGCCATGGGCGATCCAGTTTTTCTTGAACAGCACATTACCACTATACCACACACCCAGGCCTCCCCTTAAATAAAAGCTTTCCCCGTCACTTTTTTCCCCTTGATTTTTTAAAATATCCTCCCATTATCTAAGAATATATCCTTTACTCTATAATTGCTATTTCCTGGGACCAGATGGCATAATTAATAGCTATGTCGCTGGACTCCTATGTAGTCAATTGCAATTGGAGTTCGGGACCTGGTGGCTTAAACTCACACCAGGCACATGCCCAAGATCCCAAGAGGAGAATGGAGAAGGGACTGCACCCAAGAGGAGAATGGAGAAGGGATTGCAGCGTGGTCATCCCCACCCCAGGAGTGATTTCTCACTTTCTGTCTCTGTCTCTGTCTTTCTGGTAAGCGCACATGCCCTATTGCAAAAACTTCTTAAAAAAAAAAAAAAAATTTAATTGCTATTTCCCAGGGACAGAGGGGCCTACAGGTGGCGTAGCAGATAGGGTGCTGGACTCCCACGTGGTCCAAATCCTGGACTTGGTGGCTTGCTTTCTCCCTTTCCCTCCCTCTCTCTGTCTCTCTCTGGTCAAATTACAATAATACTACTAATGAAAATTTTCTGGGCTTGGACCTTGTTGGTCACAATATGGCTAAACGCACCAAGGTTGGCATCATCAGAAAACACAGGGCCACTATGGTGTCTACCTCCGGAAAATAGTGAAAAAAATTGAAATCAGCCAGCACGCCAAGTACACTTAGAGAGGAGCTGTGGGGATCTGGCACTGTGGTTCCTACATGAAAACGGTAGCCAGTGGTGTCTGGACCTACACCACCACTTCGGCTGTCACAGTAAAAGTCTGCCATCAGAAGACTGAGGAATGGAAAGACCAGTAGAAGCTCCATAGACATTTGGAATATCACTAGCCTACAATAAACGAGTTCATTTATTTAACAAAATAATAATAATAAAGTTAAAAATAATAATAAAGTTCATCTGTTTTAAAAAAATAAAAAAATGGGACCAGCACATGATGTAATGGTTACGTCACTTGACTCCCAGAGTCAACCATGGTTCAAGTCCTGGACCCGGTGGCTTAAATCTCACAAGTGGGCACATGTGCGTCCATGCCCAAAATCCTGAAAAGGATGGAGATGAGATTACCACACGGCCATCCCTTCAGTGAGTGATTTCTTGCTGTTTCTCTGTCTCTCCAGTGACCACATGTGCCCTATAGCAAAAATCTCTCTTAAAAAGTACGTCTTTGGGGATCAGCAGATGGTGTAATGTTTATGTTTATGGATTCCTACACAGGTGACTGCGGTTAGAGTCCCAGACACAGTGGCTTAAAACTCAGGTTGGGCACATGTGTGTGCCTGCCCAAGATCCCAAGGGAACAACATAAAAGGGATTGCAGTATGGCCATCCCCACCAGCGGGGTGATTTCTCACTTTCTAACTCTCTGTCTCTCCGGCAAGCACATGTACCTATAGAAAAAAAATCTATCTCAAAAAAAAATATTTTATAAGCCAGGTATGATATCAATGCCTGCAGTCCCAGCTGAAGCAAAAGGATTTCAAGTTCAAGCCTAGCCTGGGGCAATATAGAAATCCTATCTCAAGAAAAAAAGCTTATTTGGTAAAAAATTTGAGAAAATTATGCTAATAGACATCATCACATTTATCCTCTTATTTTCATGAATAACACAATGAGACAGTAAACCATAGGTAATTAAACAATGTGCTGAACTAATGTAATGCTTCAAGATGTAGCTACCCTTTTCAACCAAGTGTTTCTTTTACAGGTGTTAAAGCACTGACCCAAATGTCTAGAGTACATGCCAGTTTCTGTGAGAATTGAGGGGGAAAAAAGGGCACTAATTTGAATCTCTGATATCGTGCAATGCTGAATAGCTGCCCCAAATTAAAACTATAGGTTCTCTTCTTAAATGTGCTTCTCTAAAAGCAAGCAAGCACACTGTTTTGGTCCTGAGTTTTTCTTCACCATTTCACAAAACATTCCCCCACTTTGTATTCAAATTTGAACTTCTTCAAACACTGCTCATTTGCTTTTTGCCTTTAGATTTCCCAAGTGAAACTTTTGATAACTTCAACAGTGCACACGTTTAACAAAAACAAGGCCAGGTAAAATGCCAGAGAAAATCCTATCCGTGAACTTAAGGTGACTCCGTATCTGGTTTCTACTTAATATTTTTTACTGTGTTTATGTTTGCAGGAAAGCAAGAACAACGTACTGTACCAAAGCAAAAGAACTTAATAAAAACCAATTTGGGTCGATTCTTTTATCTCCTTTATGGAGACAAATGTGGGTTGAAAACCAGCTTTCCTAATACTTCTTGTCGGTGCGTCAAGGACGTTAAGATAAAAATAAAACTTCCAACTCTAAGGACGCTTCGCAGCCTCCAGCACTAAAGATTGAACAATAAAGCATCCACCTTCCTGCTCCATCCCGGCCCGTTAAAACGGCCGAGCCACCTGGCCCCAATTTCCTGGCTGAGAGCATGCCAAGCGCCCGGGCAGGGAGGGGGCAGCGGCCCCGGGACGCCCGGCTCTGTCCAGGGCGGGGCTCGGCTGGGTCGAAGCCTCCGGACACCGCTCCCGGGGACCACCAGTCCCCGGGGCCTGCCTGGGTGGGCAAAGGAGCACCCAGAGGCAGCCTAGAGCAGTGCTCGAGGCCCCCCAGGCATGAGGCCCGATCCTTGTGGGCGCCGCTCCCAGCCAAGGTTTAGGATCCGCGGGGCCCGACGAACTGGGCCGGGAGAAAAGCTCCAGGCCTTGAGAGCTCCAGATCCTGAGTTCGCGAGCCGAGAGACCCCAGGCCGAGATGCGCTGTGCCAGCCCCGGACAGGAAGGGCGGCGACAGGAGGCAGTCTCAGAGCTAAGGAAGGGAAGGCTGCGGGGATGGCCCATAGAGCGGGTTGGGGGACAAGTGGGCGCCTCACCTGCTCCTCTCGAAGCAGCCGCTACCGCTCGCTGAGGGGACAACATGGATCCTCCGCCTTCAGCACAAGCAGCAGGGGCGCAGAAGAGAGGGCCGGCTGGGGCGGTAACGAACCAGGCCTGGAGGCGGGAAACGGGCGGGGCCTGGGCTCTAGAAGAAACTGCTCGCGAGTGAGCGGGCACGGGGCGTGCCGGCGGGCCCCCCCCGGCTGCCTAAGGCGTGGCGAGCGCTAGGCGAGCCGGGGCGGGAAAGCGCACGCGGCCGAGTCCCGCCACCGCCCGGCGTGAGTGCGCGTGCGCGGGGTGGGCGGGGAGCGCCGCCAGCTACCTGTGACACGTTGCTGGGGGCCACGGCCGTCGGGAGTTGTAGTCCGGCGCTCTGTGGGTCCCCGCCCGCGGTCCCCGTTCTGCGCACTCATCCGGGGCGGAGAGGAAGCGGAGCCGAGGGGCGGGGCTTGGTGTGGCTCTTTGACGACCGAACTACCACTCCCAGAAGGCCGCGCGAGGAGGGCCGGGCTGGCCGGCCCGAGCCCTCCTGGGATCCTCGCGCTGAGCCTACATTGGAGACCCGGCCTGAAGATTGAGCGTTGAGCCGTAACCGGCCGGATATGAGACGGTTTCGGTGTTTAACGCGGGCAGGGGCCACAGGTGAGCGGCAGACGAGAGATCTTAACGCTGGATGACGTGCACGTCAGGGTTTTTTAAATGATTTTGACTTCACAAGGAGAATTATTTTGGTCGTGACTTCATTACGCCCGTCATTATCATCACCCCATATTCCTGTCTTTGGCTAAGGCCAGCGCGCACCCTTACGGCTCTAATAGCTAACATAAGACTTGCAGTAAGGGACCAGCAGATGGCGTAATGATTATACCACTGGACTCTCACGTAGTGGACCACGGTTCAAGTCCCGGACCCCGCCGCGGAAACCACTCCAGGTGTGGGTTTGTGCAGTACCCAAGATCAGAGAGAAGAAGGGATTGTGGCGTGGTCATCCCCGCTGAGGGGTGATCGCGCACTTTCTGTTTCTCTCTCTCTCTCTCTCTCTCTCTGTCTCTGTCTCTGTCTCTCTGTCGCTGGCAAGCGCACACACTCTATATCAAAACCCTGACCAGGACCAGCAGTTAGCGTAATGGCTATGTCGCTGGACTCCCATGTAGTCAACGGCGGTTTACGTCCTGGACCCAGTGGCTATGTCTGTGTGCGTGCGTGCCCAAGATCCGGAGAGGAGAATGGAGGAGAATGGATTGCGGCGTGGCCATCCCCCCTGTGGAAGTGACTTCTCGCTTTTTGTCTCTCTTATTTCTCTGTCTGGCGAGCCCACGCGCCCTATAGCAAAAATCTCTCAGAAAAAAAAAAAAAAAAAAAAAAAACCTGACCAAAAAAAAAAAAATACTTGTAGTGAGACCGTTTCCACTGACTTTATCCCCCATAAAGCCATCACTCTCTTGTGTAAACCTCAGGCTTACGGGGGTTGTTTTGAAGCTACATCTCCTATTTGTAAAAGATTTTTACTCTAGGGCGCATGTGCTGCCAGGGAGAGACAGAGACACAAAGGGAGACCCCCGCACCCCCTGGGGGATTGCGGCTGGAATCCCTTCTCCTCCATTCTCGCTGGATTCTGGGAACACGTGCACATAGCATGAGTTTTAAGCCGCAGGGTCGGGACTCCAACTGTGGTGGTCAACTATGTGGGAGTCCAAGGACATGGCCATTACAACTTCTGGTCCCGAAGCTACATTTTCAAGCATACTGACTTAAACAGTATGACAGGAAGATCAATACAATACAAAAACTCCTGAAAATGCTTTCATTCACACTTCACATGGGGTAAGGAAAATGTCTTATGACACAGTTAAAGAATTTTGGGGGGTTTTGGGGGTGTTTGTTAAGCTGGGAGTGCTTGTCTTGTGGGTAAGCAGGTGCCGGAGTTTATGGGAAGCTAACATTTCACGCCACCATCTGCCACCTCTTGAAATCACCATTGCCTCATGAATCCAGCAAGTTACTCCATTTTCTTTCTTCTGCCTTAACTATTATAATCTATCCAGAACCTGAGGCAAGCTGCCTCTAAGCCTTGCCCAAGCCCTTGAGCTATATTTTATTTCCCAAGTAACTAGCCCAAAGGTGAAGAGGTAAAGATACAGTTCTACTTAAAATTTACCTAAAGGGGCCAGCAGGTGGCATGATGGTTAAGGGTGCTGGGCTACCACATGACGAACCATGGTTCGAGTCCTGGACCCTGTGGCTTGTTTTCTCAATTTTCCTCTCTCTCTCTCTCTCTCTCTCTCTCTCTCTCTCTCTCTCTGTGTGTGTGTGTGTGTGTGTGTGTGTGTCCTCTGGCCAGATTAAAAATAAAGAAAGTTAAATAAAATAATTCTTTAAAAAAAAAACTACCTAAAAAGGTTCTGGGTTGTTTGGTTGGTTTTGTTTTTTCCCTTAATTGTCAGGAGGCATGTGTACTTCCTAGAGACTGACAAAGAGAGGAGAAAGCACACCTCCAATGGGGCATGGTCATAATGCAACCCCTTCTCCATTTCTCCATCCTGTCAGGACTTTAGGCACCCATGCACATATACCCAGCATGTTTTTCTTTCTTTTCTTTTTCTTTTTCCTTGTTCTTTTATATTTTTTTTAAAGAGATTTTTTGCTATAGGGCATGCGCGCTCACCAGAAAGACAGAGAGTAACAGAGAGACAGAAAGTGAGAAATCACCCCCCAGAGGGATAGCCATGCCACAGTCCCTTCTCCTCCGCTCTCCTCT